TTCTTAGACATATTTTTAGAAAAGTAGTAAATGGAGCGATTTGTCTTGAGTTACTGAAATCCTGATTCGTCTAATAACAAACATTTGAAAAAAAGTTTGACAAACATTTCAGTCGAGCTTTTTTTGTAAATTTGACTTGAACACAAACGGAGCGTTAGCGTAGTTTTGTGTTACATAACGAAATCTTGTCTTTGTCTTTTTGCTGTCTTAAAACCGCTTTATCGGATCTGCAATTTGCAGATTATGGTTTAGTTTCAATTTTTCTGTTTTCCCGAATTTGAAAATAAATTGAAAATATTTCCAATGTATTGCTTTTGAGCTTCTTTAGCGCTTGTGTTATATACAAACAACCTTGTTTTTTGTTTGCAAGTCTCACGTTTGTATTCAGTACGTAGCAATTTTCAATAACGTGAGCGTATGTCCGCTGAATTAAAACGTATTAAAATTGCTGCTAAGATTTATGATAAATTATCAAGGTTTAATTCAAGGACTTCGTTTTTTTTCGTGAATTTGATTGAAGAGCTACAGCTTATTGATTTTTTCTACGTGTTTTGGCAAAGTGCTGCTTTACACTGTGTATAAAACTTTCAACTATTAATCAAGTTTTCTAACCTACTGATGTTAGAAAATTTAGAATGAAAATCAATCGACAATCTAGGTCAGTGATGATTCAAGGCATATGTGCAACTTAATTCGCAATGTTTTTACACTTGCGAAGCGATTGTATTAGTACGAGCCTTCTTTTTTTCCAACCTGAGTCGCAAATAAAAGTGCTACTTTTGGTGGCACACAGTTGATGCATTTTTAATTCATCAAATGAAACGAAAAAAGTTATTTGTTTCAAACAGCAGTACTATGATAAAAAGCTTGATTTCAGAAATTTTCCAACTCAATGTATCTCGCAATTTTTTTGAAATGCATAATTTATACAAAATTTGGCTTTATGCGTTCCAGTTTATTACATGCAAAATTGTGTCTTTTTGTATTAGGTGTCCCTTTTGCGGCATCGAATTGGCAGTTTATTAGCATATGTAGCTTCGTTATTAGTGGCTAGTTTTCGGGGAATTTAAGCATCCGTGGCTGAGTGGTTAGTGCCAGAGACAAAATTGCAATGTCGCAGATTCGAATCCTACTTGTAGCCGAGGTTTTGCTAGTTTGAGGCTTATTTCTTTTTTTATTTCACTTGATAGAGCTGCTTTTTGGTCGTGTTCTCGCAAGTGTTTGCGAAGCGCAGCTTCGCCTCTGTGAAAAAGTAATGTTTCGTGCCATTTATAAGCAATGTACGTTTTTCAAAGAACCGATAAAATTTGTGTCCAATTGTTTGTTTCTGATCGCTTTAGTACGCGAAGTACATCTGCACTTTTTTTCTTTTCAACATTTCAATTTTCTTTTTTGTTCCGACCACTGATTAGGACGAAGGTTTGTTTTCGAGTTTGATTAGATTTACCCGAGACATGCCTGTCAAAAGGCACTGCCTGACAAGCTCTGGATCTTGAGACAATCTTTACTTAATATCGAGAATAAACGTTCTAAGGCAAAAAAAAAAACTTTTTCAATTTACTTGAAAAAAAAAATTGCTTTAAAAACAGTTGAAAAAAAAATCGTTTTTAAAATGTTTATTCTCGATGTCAAGTAAAATTGTCTCTGAGCTGCTCAGGCAGTGCCTTTTGACAGGAAAACGACGTTCCCTTTCTTGAAATGTCATTCATTTTATGTTAGTTAAATGTGTAAGTTGTCATTTTCTACGGATCATTAAGCCATTCACTTTCAGTTTTTGAAGCCCATAATTTCCTACCTTCACAAAAAATCCGCAATTGTTTTCGAATCCGTTTGAAAGTTTGAACAAAATGAAATTTTTTAGGCAAAAACGTTCTGGCGCTCTTCTTTATGTTAAACATGGGAAATCGAAAACAGAATGAACTCATTTTCGAGAAACGGTCAAGTCCTTTTTTCAGATCAGTTCATTTCCTTTAATTTTCCGAGTTTTCGGAATTTAATTTTCTGAATTTCCAGCGGAATAAAAAAAATTATCAATTGCTCCAGTATTCTCTAAATGCGAAAATTTAAAGAAAAAATGTCAATCATAAACAATTCTTGAATTAAAATTCAAAGAACTTAAGCGTGATACAATTTTCACTTCGATCTCGATAATTGGAAAATAATCAAAAGATTTATCAATTTTTTGTGCGTTTCCTTAAGTTTTTTACGCTCTTCCAACCATCTGTAGGCTATGTTTGCTTTACAGCACATTGAACCAGTACTCTCGCTTGTTTTTTTTTCCTGATAAGTTTGCTTTGCTTGTCTCTAAATTTCAAAACGATTACCTTTGCAGTTTAATATCACCTTATGACACCCTTTCGATTGATGTCGAGCTAAAATAAACTTCCTTTTGTCCATCGGCCTTGAATTTATCTTACTTATCTCGGGTATGTAAAGAAATGGTATTTCTTGATATCTATCATTGGTGACTAACTGGATTGACAGGAATGTATTGGCTTAAAGGTGCGCCAGTGAGTAATTACATAAGATTATTCCAAACATCATTACTACTCCCCTTCTTAGACTGTCATAAGTTGCTCAAGTTTATTAGATTTTGAGACTACATAATGGAAAAAATTCTATTAGACTTGATGTTAAGAGTAATTTTTACGCTACTGTCTGTGTTCTTTCCCCTTTTGTTGCATTAGCTTTGAAAAAATAATTTCATACTCTCTCCTATTTGGTAAACAATCTGCTGCTGCAAAATTAGACTCTTTTATCTCTGCAGTATTTACAGCGTGCTGTTTTTGTGTTCCTGAAAAGTCGTTATACGCGAAACAAAAATTGAAAGTAATTTTTAAGCAACCGACCAAACGGTGATTCATTCTGTTAAAAACAGCATCAATGAAAATTTTACTACCATTATACACTCAAAATACGCCTGCAAGAGACTGCATACGATAAGAGACGCTTCCGCCGATTTTTGTTTACCGCAATAGAGCGATTATTTATACCATAAACTTGAGCTCAATAATACAAAGTTATACAAAAATTCGTTTGATCGGTTAACTTTTTTCAACACGGTGCCGTCTTAGTTGAGCTCTGGTTAGAGGCAACATTAATTTCTGAGTAAAGTATTGTGTTCAATTGGAGTCCATTTTTTAGTTCGTTTGTCGACTTGAATCAACTTGTCTCATTTTTATATGGTCGATTCTTAACAAAATCTGATCCTACAACGAGAACGAAAATATATGATTTTGACCTGCCTGCCATTTGTTATCTGAGTTTTAACTTTTGATCTGTTATCCGCTAGTGGAAAGAATTGCTCCCATTTTCCTAAAATTATTTTTTATTCTGAAAATTTGCAAATTTATATTTTAATGGCTGCTTATAAATTGTTAGTTACTCAAGTTGAGAATTAAATTGTCGTGATTTTGACTCTGTGACCTTATTTCGAACAAACTTTTAGCTAAATAGTAAACAATTCGACAGACAAAGTCCCCCCGTCCCCGGCTCACTTCTAGTAAAAGTCTGGACTAAACAAGACATATTAGAGAAAACCAGGTCTTAAATTTACTTTCTTTGTCTTTTCAAATCATGTGGGACTATAACGTTTTGCGACTCTTTGCGCTGGTTATAACTTATAATTATAAACTCAGGTGACTGACAGTCGAATCTAGTCTACCGCAAAATATTTTACAACTCCTTTCGTTTTTCTGGGTCGAGTCGAGAGGCAATTTCAAAATTTAACAACTCGCGAGAAAGTAACGCCGATTTCTTGGTTATTTTATTGATTTAAAAATATAATGTTGTTGTTGGAACTACAAAAAGACAAGACTACTTACTTTGAAATTTTTCATTAAAATAAAATGGATAACTGATTTTTTTTGCGATAATAACAGATTTTGGCCGCGTTATTTTGAAATCACAAGTCATTAAAAGATTAGATGAAAAACAATTGATCGACATCAACATTTGTTTATATTACCTTTTAAGATCTTTTTTGGTGAAAAAAGTGCTAAATTCTTTATTCTACCTACGTCTTGTCTTAATCTTGTTAGCAGATTGTATGTAGGTTATTTGTTTTTCTTTTTGGTATGTACAATGTACTCATGCATGTTCCGCCAATTCAATCCTGCCTTGATATTTGCTTTTTATAGCAAATAGAAAAAAAATCAATTACCGACGGCGTCTTGTATTCTGTTGAATCGTGTTACCATTTAGAACGTTTTAAAAGGTGTGTTCTCGTTTTTAAGCTTAACAATTTACAGAGGAAGGGAAAAATGCTTAGAATTAAGTTCACCTTTCATCCTCAACCATAAAACAAGCCGTGGAGAACAATTGATTAAACCTCGCTGGGATTAATGTAAACGTCAAGATTTTCTATTTTTCCTTACTTACTTCTTAATCGTCTGTTTTCCTTTTCTAAATTATCGACCTTAAAAAAGGTAAATCATGAATACAAATAGTTATTCAAACGGCTCTCAGCGGAGTTATTATCAGCAGTTTGTGCCGTATAATTATGCCCAAAACGTATCGCCGAGTTCGGCTTACGTTCATTACGACAGCATTTCAGGTCAATTCAGTCGGCCCGTTTTGAAGCGGAATCAAAGTTTTTCCACTCCTAAAAATAGCCAATTATCTGAAAACGTACCTCCTGTACCTGCTCGACAACCACAATTTGTATCTCAACATAATTCGAGCAGAGAATATACACACTCCCGAACAAGTAGTTTTTCGAGTTCAAAAGATACTCGAGGCGCGACAAACATTGGCTCTACGAATTCTTTTGAGGGAGGCGAACTTTCTAACCCTTATCGCAAAGATAGACCCTTATCGACGCCATGTTATGATCAGCCTTCTTCCTCTTACAATTATCAGCCTTTGCCTTCTAGTAATAGTTTTAGTTATAACAAAACTGGTAATAGGCCATTGCCAATGGTTAACTACCAAACTATAGACAGAAGTTGTGACATACACTTGAGTAGATCAAAATCGTTCATTAGTCCGATTGTTCACAGAGACACCAACAGCTATGGACATCGTGGCCCTATGTATGGACATCATGGCAGTGGATACATGAGTGAAGGAGGAGATGCACATGCTATGGATAGGATGAGAAATGTCCCAATTCTGCCCCCCGCCTTAGGAGGGACAGGGGGAGAAATGGAAAGCGGTATGAGTCATGAGCAGAGAGTGTTCAGAGATGGAATTTCGGCTATTAAAGACTGTCTTCTCAGATCTGATATCAAATTGGCAGAATCGGACAGGTGAGTAGTTTTCTATCAATAATTCGAACCTTTTGGGATCAAATACACTCTTATTCGTAGCAGCGAATCTCATTTTTGGTTTTAAAAAGCTGGTTTAAGTAGCCTTTGAACTGTTACAAGCAGCGATTGTTTAGTTTTTTGTAAATAAATAGATATATATAATGCATGTTTCTTAATTTTCTCAACATTTATTGTTTTAATTTTGAGGCAGATGAGTCATGGCCTACACGACACGATCAAAAAAGAACATCTAAAATCATAAATTTAATGAATCGACGGTATAAATATTCTAAGTGTGACTTGTTTTGTTTTTATAGCGAGGGGGACGTGGACTCTGTGACCTCTAACATCAGTGACCTTGTGAATGACCTCAGCAGCGACATCTCCGCCAACATCACCTCACCCCTCGACAGATCCAAACACAACAACACCGCTTCAAACAACAACACCACAAACAACAGCAACACCAGTGCTCACACGTCACCCGCAAACATCAACTCAAAGACCATCAGTGCTGAAGGTCAGAAAAAAATTATTTGAAAAACGATGCTGAAGAAGATAAAATTGTTTTTTTTTTTCAAAAAAATGATGCTGAAGAGAAAAATGTTGTTTTTTTTTTTCAAAAAAAAATGATGCTAAAGAAGAGATTAAATAGGTTCGCTAAAATAGTTTGTTATATCGAGATTGGTTTAGTTGTGTAACTTAAATAAAATGCAGATGGCAGTATACAATATACCCCCTTCGTGCATTGACCCTTCGTGCATTGTACTGATTCAATCTTTCTGTTAGGAGTGTCGAGAAGCGAAGTGATCCCAGCTGCGGTTCAAGTGCCAACGACGGGACATTCAATGCGAGCTGCGAAAAAGACGGCCATAGTCCAACCACAAAAGCCGAACAGAGTTGACAGTCGGCTAACTGATATGGCAAACATAAGCTGCGAAAAGACAAACGAAGACTCTAACATGTATTCTTCGTCCGAATCATCGCCTCAGATGTCTTCGAACAAGTCCTCAAATGCTACTATTAAACGATGTCCCAATCAGAAGATAGTGCAACCAGCGCTAACTGGCGAGGAAATAAAAGTTAGTCAAAATACAGATAACAGCTCTGCGTTTTCGAAGCCGGATGCCAAAATGAACGCAGATAATATTATGAATCAACAACAGCAACAACAACAACAGCCTTTGACTGGCCAGATTAGAGGCAATGTATTCAGGCTAAGCAGCGTTAGCAGTGTGGTTTCAGAGGAACACGAGGACGCGAGATCCGACGACTGTCAGCGTCACTCGGGAGGAAGTTTCCAGAACTCGGAACTGGTTAATTCAAACGAATCTCTAACAGTTCTCCACAGTCGGAACCAGGCGATAAACAGTCACATGGTTCCTATTGGGAGCCCAAGCCAAATGATAACTAACAGACAAAATCTTCAAAACTTGACAACTCAAAGGCAGAATGGTTCCGGAGTCTCGACTTTCAACCAGCAGAGATCCAATGTTTCTCCTGGTAAGAAGACAGCTGCAATGATGCATGCAGAATCAGACGTTGAATGGGAAACGGCAAGTATGGCTTCACAAAGGAGTTCCTCAATCATGACTGGAACAAATGACAAGCATTGCTTCTCTGACACCGAGGACCTCTCTGGGAAGCGAGATTACGGGCAGGCGAATCTCAGAAAAATGCTTGAAACTAGAGCTGCTCAAATGCAACTAGCGAATCAGCAGCAAGCGCCTCGGAAGCCCAGTGCCGGCAGCGAGTACCTGGAGTCATCATTCGCTCTTATGGACATCAGGAACCTAAGAGACCGTCTAGCGAATCCTCACAACATAGATACTCAAAGTGACTACGGAAGTATAGGAGCCAGTGCAACAATGTCCAGATCGAAAAGTGGACGAATTAATGCGAGAATTGATAGCCAGATTGAGAACACGATGGAGAAGTTTGCTTTGCTGAATTCGATTTCACCAGGAAGTCAGAACTCTGATGGATCCAGGAGTAACAAGCAGTACAACCAGTTACCCCTAACCCAGGAGCTGCTAAACAAAGCAGCAGGTTCAGGATCCAGTATTTCTCCCTCTGGTGTGTCAACATGTAGTGGTGTAGTGAATAATCAGAACAGTCTGACAGTGGATACAAACAGCAATAGACTAAGTGCAATGTCCGATTGCAACTCGAGAATATTCAACTACAGTGCTTCTGCAATGAATACTCCAGTTTTAGGTCAGTGTAATAATTTTAAAAGCCAGGTCAAGGCAGCGCAAGTTGATTTTTTTGAATAATTGAATTCTGATATCGAGAGTTTAAATTTTGTTTAGCATGTCTTCAAATAAATTCATATCTTGTCAATTAACCGAAGATTGTGAGCTACTTTTTTTGCAAAATTTAACATGAATTACTGAGTGCTAGGTTTTGTTCCAAAATATTGAACGGAGGATGATTTGTATTTTCAAAATATTAAAAATAAACAGAAATTGTAGTTTATTCTGTGTTTTTCTGTAGGTATGAAGCACTCTCGCAGCGGCAGCTCCAGTGGTTTGTTCCAAGCCGCATCCTCCGGTCAATCTAGCTCACATCACAGGGGAGTAGCAGCATCTTCTTCTGGTCTGCCCCCGGAACTGACTCTGAACTCGTGCAATCCACTGGGTGAACTAGCCAGTCTAGGATGCAGCGACAGTGAGTATCCATGCTAAGAAGCATTTACTATTTAAGGCTCTCTTTAAATTCTTTATACTCAATAAATAAAATATGTTGCAAGGAAAACTTATTTTTATTAGAATCTCGGTTGAACGATAATAAAGTTTTTAGTTAAATGATTTTATCACTTTGCATCTTGTTTCAGACTTCTTCTGTGGCTCAAATGTCTCCCTCAACTCGGCTTCTTCATTCGAATCATCACACGTAAGTCCACATTCTTCTTCTTCTGAGCTTATTTCATAAAAGCCTAGACGTATTTGAGTGAAAATCTTGATTTTTCCGTGTTTTAGTTATGATGTACATCTACTAAAATCCTTTCAATTTTGAGAATGCATGAAGTTATGTAATGTTTTGGATAGAGTAATTAATCGGGATGATGTTGAATTGCTTCAGTTCGATGGTCAAAACATGGCAGAGACGATTCGCAGACTGAAGAACGAACTCCTAATGTCCAATGAGAAAGTGAACAGGCTCACAACTCACATCATTTGCAATGTAAGTCCTCAAGCTATTCCCCAGTTTTCAACTTATAAGTTTCTAATATTCCGAGTGTGGCTCCCTCGTGTTTATGCTGACAAATAGTAGCTGTATAGTAAAATAGTACCCAATTTTCGCAGGCACAAACCGTGGCTAGTTTCGAGAAAACCCTGAGCAACCTCAACCAGAAGCTGTCCAACATATTCCCGGATGGAAGCGAAACCACAGCCAACGAAATCGAGAACCTCAAGAATCTCATCGAAGAGTTGAAGGTCAATCAAAAACCAGAAGTTCTCAGTTCCAGCCAGAAAGAGTTAAGAGAACCAACAGTGAGTGCTATTTCGAAACGAGAGAACCATCAGAGAGCCAATTCTCTCGACGCAGGTTGCTTTCTGTCATCTGAGACTTCGACGTTAGAAACAGGACAGGAAGGATCTCCTCATCTAAGAGATGAATCGGAGAAGAGTCATTGTGAAGATATGGGACTGACAAGAGAGCAGACATCCAGTCCAAGCTGTGTACTTTCTGCGGGAAATAGTGGGGACAAATTGAGCGATAAGAAAGCTAAGAAGAATTGGGTTAGTTTGACGAAATGTTTTCCTTCCATTTCTGTTCACGTGCACAAGATTATTTGATGAGCATTGCTCTTAGTGATTATTCATTCTCTTGGCAAAAGATTTAGAAACGTCCTGATTTCAATTTAACGCTTAGAATTTTCCAAATACTTTGCACTTGCAAAAAATGGTTCCTGAAATCAACATATCAACTATCTCTGTTTAGACTCGCTATCATTAGCACTGCTGTTCAGACATTTGAAGCTGTTTTTTTTTCTAAATATAAACTATTACTTTTTCTCAGCTGAGGAGCACTTTCAAACTGGGCCGCAAGAAGAGTGCCCACGGATTGAACAATCTGGCGGGGGGACAAATGAGTAGTGCGTGTGCTTCGGATGCCGAATGTGACTCCCCCACCCAGCCCTCCTCCCCCTTCCACTCCCCCCACGTGACTCATCCCTTCTCTACACCCTCATCTGAACACAGTCAGCAGAAGATTCTGACTCCGCTGCACGCAAGTGTCGTCGCTACGCCTCTCATTGAATCGGCTTCTCTTCCCAGGTTGGGGCTTAGCTCGTTACATAGCTTCTAATTCACCTCGAAAATGCTAATCTGCCTCAAAAATGCTTGTAAAAATATTTAAAAGATTGACCTTTCTTGGAATTTTTTGACACCATTTTTTGCTGACTCAATTTGTTCAGAAACGTAGCACATATTTCTGGCCAACATTTCTTCTTGAAAAATTAAAAGTAATCTCATATTATTATCGCAGCAATGAACAATATATTAGCCAAAGATAAAACATGATTTTAAGTTTGAAGGTTAAAGATGTAAAAAGTAATTTCGGAATAATACTTAAAAATTTTTTTAATTCGTGTTTGTTTCCAGACAAAAGTCCTCTGCGGCAATGTCTTCAGTCATGGACAGCAGTGGGAAAATGGGAGGAACCACCCGGGATGGCCAAGTGGCTCTGCGACAACAACTGGTGGAGAATGAGAAGAGACTGACAGAGTCCAAGCTCCAGTTCCTCTCATCTGCACACCAGATAGACCAGATGAAGGACGAAATGGCCACTTTAAAGGTAATCAGCGTAATCGGAATCAGATTTTTGTCCGTTTTCCCTATCATCAACAAAAAAAAAAGATTTTGTGCACGAAGCATTGATTTTCAAGGCTAAATATGAAGACCAAGTGGATCTAGAATTGAATAATACTTGTCAAATTTCAAAACAATCGGGCATTTTTAATTTAAGATTCGTTTGCTATAAATCTCAAAATGAAAGTTGAACACTACGAACAATGCTAACTGAAATGAGTAAATTGCGGCAAAATAGCGATGATTGAGTTATTTTACTAAAAACACCGTCATCTTGCTTTTTTATTATTTTCAGCGAAAAAAGTCTTGCGGTTAATATCAATAGTTTTACGGATAGTCAGATGACTATTGTGTGTTGTAAGTTAGCAAATTTTGTTTTCCAGAATGAGTTGGATTTGTTGCGCAACGAAAACGAGAAACTGGCCAATCATGCAGAAGGATCCGAGTCGAGATGCTCACCCTCAGCATCGTCTATAACATCATCCAACTGTGCCTCCTCTTCCGCATGTAGACACTCCTCCAGTGAGTCATGCAGTGCCAGCGACCTGCAGCACTCCAACAGCGACCTTTGTCTAAGTCTACTTTTGGACCACTCCGTATCCCCGGCTAACTTGGACTCTATTGCAAATGCAGCTCCTGGACACCCCCACATAGACCCATCCAACTTGAGGGTAGTGCGGGTGAAGTTGCTGATCGGCAACCCTTGCGACTCTCTGGAACCGCATGCCAGTGCATACTACGTGGGAAGTGTGGGTATCACTCCTAATACACAGTGGACGATGGTAGATCTAGGAGTCCAAAGAGTGTTCTGTGACTACATGTCAAGAGTAGACTCTAGTCAACTGGGGCTGAACGCAGATTCGATCAAGTGCTGGAGCTCTGGGAAAAAGGTAAGACAAAGTTTTCTTTGCCCAGTGAAAAGCCTTAAAATCGATGCACTCTATAAAAAAAACTTCTTTGTTTGTCATTGAAAACTTTCAGATTCCTGCTGAATCATTTTGATTGAATTACTTTTTGTGCTGCTTTCCTGATATTTGTAATTTTTTTCCTTTAGATGGTTCGACCTTTGGGCTCTAAACAAAACCAAACAGGATCCGAGGTCCCTACTACTCCCACCAACGAAGTCATGTCTCAGTCACCATTTGACTTCTTCAAGGGAAGCTCAGAATCTGTCCCCACTTCGAGAGATCAAACCACTAATACATCATCCTCCTGCTCATCGTCGTCATCAATCACGCTTCATCTGAGAGGCAGAGGGGAGGAGTGCTGTGACAACCTGGTGTTCGATACATGTGTCCCTAAGCCACACATGTTGCGATACTTCAATCAATGGGTGGAGTTCAAGAAACTTGTTTTCATCGGACCGCCTGGTAAGAGAGGATCTGTTTTCATAGACACAGAAAATAAATTCCTTAACAAAGCTTTTGTTTCCAAAAATTATATGAAAATGTTAGAAAAAGTCTAAATTCGACACCACCCCCCCTTCCCAACTCGAAAAAATTTCAAAATCTCCCTCAAAAAATTACTAGATCCTCCCCTGATGATATAGACAATGCTAAACGATGCAAGTACTTGAACTTAAGCTATGTTATTTGTCTTTTTTAAAAGAAAGGAAACTATTATTTCTCTGACTAATATGACTAATCCAAATTAGACCTCGAAGAGCAAAGTTCTTGTTCATAGGAACTGGAAAGAGTTTCGTGGCGATGAAGTTGACCAGCCACCTTCTGAGTGGCTCGGATCCGAATGACTCTCCTGGGAACCCAATCAAGAGTCTAAACATGGACTTGGATGACATCTCAGATCTTAGGACCACAGTCAAAGATCTGCTCAAAGCGAAGTGAGTTTACTTTTACTTTTTGTTGCGTGCCTCTATTACTTGCGAGTTTTATATTATTTTATACTAAATTGAAAATTAATTAAGCAGAATTTGAGCGCGACTTAATAAATTATAAAAACAGTTTCAAGGAGAAAGTTGATGGTTTTCGGTGCCAGCGTAGTCAGGTAATTTCGTATTTTTTTGACTTCTTAGTCAATTTTCATTGAATTTTGATTCTTACTTTTTCTTCTCTTTTTTTAGTGACTCGATACCGAAGAAAGTGTTGTTTATTGAGAACTTCCACTCGCTTGGATCCCACATGTCGGAGGCACTCTCCATTTTGGCAAATATCAAATCCACCCTCCCCGTATTCACAATAGTGACCATGACATCCAGACCTAATCAGAGCTACCCGCAGCTGCAGAAGGTGTTCCCCAGGTCAGCATTTCAGATTATACGAACAAAATAACGCCTATTTGGGGTCTACTTTACAACGCCTATAGTATCTTCTAAATAATTCCAAAACCCCACCCTCCCCTCCCTCCCTTTTAATTAAATAAAGACAGGAAATTTGCACTAGAGCTGTCTTAAGAAAACTCCAAATTTGCTGCATTCTGATTGGTCAAAAATTCGCTGATTTAATCTTCCTAACAATTCCTTTTCTTGAAAGGGTTGAGAGAGTGTTAACTAGATCCCCTATTTGTGATGTTGCAAAAAAAAACCAATTGTTTTTTGTTTTTTTTTCACTCGAAGCGTTTCTTTTTTGCAGTTTTATCTTTTTTTTCTCACAAACTTCGTCTTTTTATTACTGAATAAGATTAAAACTCTGTTAGTTTATTTGTTGCTAGGTGGGTGGTATTGAATAACCACAATGAGCCAGTGAGTGGACTGGTGTCTCGGTTCCTGAGGCGGAAGTTGTTGGAATTCGAGAACCGGAGTGGAGGCACAGGCGGAGGGAAGAATCATCAGGTGCAGCAAGTGGTCGAGTGGCTTCCTAAAGTGTGGCACCATGTGAACAGAATCATAGAAGTCTACAACTCAGCAGAAGTTACTCTAGGTTTGCAAAACATTGCTCCTCTGTTATATATATTTTCTATAAAACGAAAAAAATACACCAATTCTCATATGTATCTTAATCGACTATAATTTGGAACGCCTTTTGATTGAATTTTGAAGTAAGATTAAAACACAAACGTTTGCACTTCGTTTTCTAGCAAATTAAAGTTCTTTGTTAGTATAATCTGCCTTTAGTTAATTCTAATAGGGTTTGTGATTTGTTAGCGATGTTCTTTAAAAGTGTGAAATAGTTGTGTTTCCAGGTCCTCAACTGTTCATGAGCTGTCCGATGGACCCAGTTGAGACCCAATCCTGGTTCCACAACCTCTGGAACTTCTCTCTGGCGCCTTACTTAGTCGAGGCTATCCGGGAGGGGCTCCAACTATACGGTGCAAAAGCAGGAACTACCTGGGAAGACCCTCTGGCTTTTGTAGAGGATACATACCCCTGGACTTGCAATTCCTCAGCTGGAATCGCAGAAGGGGTCAAACAAGTTCACGCTCCAAGTCCGAGTAAAGTTTTCCCCGCGTTGACACGAATCAGACCAGAAGATGTCGGATTTGACAAGATTTCAATTCGAACGTTAAATCCGACCAGTGATCATTCATAAACTAACAAAAATTGATAGTTTGATTTAGTTATTTTCTTGACAACAAGGAAAAACTGTTATAGCATTATGAACAGATTTAATTTGAACTTAAACTCTTGAATCTAATGAAAACTATTTTTGTGCCTCTTTAATTTGTAGTTCTTTGTACAGAATTTTGGTTGCATTCGAATCATTGTGTAATTTTTTTCAGATTAATGAAGCTTAAATTTTTCAGAAAAAGCAGTTTGAAGTGTTCTTTGAATCTAATTTTTCTGATGAGCCAGCAGAATATTTCTTCTGTGGCTTCTCAGCTTTGCTTTTTAATTGGTTTATCCTAACATTTATTGATTTGATTTGATCGAATTCACTGAATTTTTGTATATTGCTGACCATCATCCAAAATTACAAATTTACTATTTTCAGCTGTTCTTTTCGGCCCAGTTGAGTTATAAAAAACGATCCTGCTGTATAATCTAAAGAATATATTCTTTAGCTGAAGTTCAAAACACTAATTCTTGTAATTTCACTCGGCAATACGTTCGGAGCTAATCGAATGTGGTTCAAGGAAGTCAGAATTAATGAAAACATTTTGATGCCCTCCCTCCAACTTTGCTCTTTTGTGTGCTTACACATCTATTTACACTGGCGAATTTTAGTGAGCGTAGTGTAATAGTACGACTATTCTTTTGTTTCTAACCTAAGTCGCAGACATTGGTGCCACTTTGGTTGGCACCTTTACGGCTTTTTGATTGCTTTCGAATATTAATAAGTTAACACAGTTATTGCTTTTTATTATCACCAAATGAACCGAAAAAAAAAAGATATTTGTTTCAAGCAACATAACAATAATAAAAACTCGATTTCAGAAGTTTTCTCACTCAATATATCTCAATTTTTCTGAATTCATATTTTTTACATAATGTGGCTATATGCTTTTTAAATTTTTACATGCACAGTTAAGGTCGATGCCTGCAATTTTGCTGCATCGCTTTGGCGAATCTGGAGGTCGCAGGTTCGAATCCGATACGCAGCAAAGTTTTACTAATTCGAAGCTTATGTATTTAAGTCTACGATGCAATTTAAGTCGCAAGTAAAAGTGCTCATTTTGTGAAAATTATTTAGAGTCGATGAACGTAGTTCACAATTATATCGGTCGCGATAATTTTTTGAGGTTTTTTTTAGAAAATAAAAAAACTTTCTTCAGGCTCAAATTTGTTTTTTTCGTGATTTGACTTAATTTTTTTTCAAGCTCAGTTCATTTCATTCGTTAAAAGTAAGATAAACTCCACTGTCGAACAGCGAAAGTGTAAAGGTCACGAAAAACTTGATTGACTTCTAGTTTCGAAAGTGGGATTTCATTACCAGATTTCCCAGCGGAATTTAAAATTTGCCTATTGATCCATTTTTCTCAAATTGGGTTAACTTTATCAAAAAAGTCAATCATTACACAAGCATAGCTTGTGTTATAGTATGAATTTTTTTTTCCAGCTTAAGTCGCCAATATTGTTGCGATGCAATTGTTGCGACAAAATGTGTTCATTTTGAAAGTGCTTATTTGAAACCAGCTATTTAGTACACCCAATGCTAAGGATTATAACACAAACTGTTATATTAAAAATGGCACTTTAGCTTCAAGGTATCATAGATTTGCAGCGTAGAGGCAGGGAAGTAGACCAGCAACAAAATAAGAGGGTTCGAACCTGGGCAGAGTCGGATGTTTTTAATGAACTTTTTCGTATACTATTAAAATGTGCCCGATCTATAATTTGAGACAAGTTAGTTGGTAATTTTCTTTTTTTTTCAAATTGACTGCTAATGGGTCATAATTGGCTTGCGTCACTTAGCAATTATATGGACTCTTAATTGGCGTGCTTCACTTAAGAAATTTTGTAGACTCAAAGTTTTACTCATTCAGTTGTTCCCAGTAGCGCTATCGGTCATATTTTTGCTTGTTTATGTGAAGTGCAACTTCGCCTCGGTGTCAATTGCTCTAAAATTAATAGAGCTTTCGAGCAATCGATTTTTTTATTTGGATTTTCGAAAATACGTTTTTTTTTAAAAGAAAAAAGTCAGTGTTTTTTTCTGTTTACTTGCATTCCTTGACTCTTTTCAAGTGTTTGTTTATATTAGTATAGTTTCAATCATAGTAAGTTTTATTGCATCTCTAGTGAAGTCTTGTTTAAAGTCTTTTGTTACATACATCAATATAGCTAATTTTTTAAAGAAAAATGTTTTAAAATTTAATCAAGCTAAATTTTGGGTTTTTCGCGTTTGATTTTCAAATTCTTGCGAGTTCTCTTCATTTCTATTTTTAAAAAGAGAGCAATCTCCACAACGAGACTGCAAATTTGCCCAACATTTCGATTTCAATTTCAGATTTCCGTGCGAAAGTAAAATTTTTTCGAGAAAATGGATCACCAGATAATTTTACTTCAGCTGAGAAATCTGAACCTTAAAATCATCTTTCGACATTAGAAATTGATTACGCTTACGTGAATTTTGGTCGTCAATCTCCACTATCGGGCACTTTTTTTGTTCGACAGTGAAGATTGTTCTCCTTTTAGCAAAAGAAATGGATTGAAATCGTAAAAAAATGTAAAGTCAAACCGCCGAAAACCAAAATTGAGCTTGGGCAAATTTAAAGCTTTTTAGCTAAAAAAATCACTAAGACCTACAGTGCTGATTTAAATTACCCGGACAAAATGAACAAAACATGAGTTTTCAAACGCGTTTTTGTCAAATTGGGTTAAGATTAGACAAAAAATGAAGAGAACAAAAGTTGCTTAAAATTTTCTCAGAATTAATATGGTGTAATTTTTTCTCCGAAATTCTCAACCAATATTTTACCCCAAAAATGTGTTATTTTGGTTTTTTTCAATTAATCAAGAATTACGCTGAAAATACTTTGTTAATTGATAAGAAAATTATATCACAAGAAGCCTCTTACACAGCCCAACAAAGTTTAAGGAGGGGTAAAACTTGCGCAAATTGTTTAAAATTTGTTTTTAAACAGAGATACTGTGTTTTATATAGTAAAAATCACAATTATTGACTATCAAGTAAAAAAATGTTCTCATATTCTAGTTTTTGGATATTTAACCCTTCTTAAACTTTGTTGGGCTGTGTAAGACGCTTTTTATGATATAATTTTTTATCAATTAACAAAGTAGTTTCAGCGTAATTCTCGATTACTTGAAAAAAACCAAAATGACCCATTTCTAGGGTAAAATTTTGGTTGAGCATTTCGGAGAAAAAATTACACCAAATTAATTCTGAAGAAATTCTAAGCAACTTTTGTTCACTTATTTTTTTGTCTAATCTTAACCCAATTTGAGGAAAACGGGTTTGAAAACTAAAGTTTTGTTCGTTTTGTCCGGATAATTTAAATCAGCACTGTAGAAAAGAGTCTTCATTACGTTCATCTGTTCGAAAATTTATTATTTTTCAATGTCTTTGATTGAAATCTTTGTCCTGTAGGCTATTAATTTTAAGTCCTCGATTCTTACGTCCTTCAAAGACCTTGAATTAAACTAACACTAACCACCAAAAAAGCAGCAATAGACGCTATTTAATTTCTTATGCTGGAAATTATGCAAACATTGCCAGCAAAGAGTTGGAAAAGAGTCAATGAACGCAAGTAAAAAATACTGATTGTTTTTAAAAACATCGTAATTTTGGAATTTCCAAAAAAAAAATACATGACAAGTCTTGAAAATGATGAGAAGGTTCAGCCTTCTAGCTTTCAAATAGTCGTCACGAAAACCGCCGCTTTGTTTCCACAGTTCTGAGGTATGGTCTCTGATTCGTGTATATCTACGCAGCTAATACTTCAGACAATTTAGTAATTATTAGTTAATAATTTTGATCTTAATTATAACACGGCCAAATGGGTTTTGCTTTTAATTTTGATAATTGACGCAGACATTTTTAAATTTTATTAGACGATAAAAAATTTAAGTAATTTTTACATATCTTAATGTAACACTGGCAAATGTATTTTTCTACAAATTTTAATTTAACGATAACCATTTTATGCGACTTTGCGAATGACTTATTATTTAAGTTTCATGTTTCATTTTATCTTAGTCGATGGTCAGATGGCACAGAATTTTGACTGCTATCAAGTAAACACATTGAACTGCAACAAAAAAAATACGTTCTGACTAGACTCAAAGACATTTAAACTCGTTGCACCGAGTTTAGTAGGCATAATTATTTGTATCATGGACTTCATCAGTCATAAGAACTCACAAGACAAAAATTGAATCAAATTGAACTAATTTTTGAATTTACGGGTTATCAAATTTGTGAATGTCAGTACTAGACTCAGTGCTTTAAAACTTGGTTTGGTGCAATTTTTCTATTAAAAAAGCCATTGAAATAATTACTGACTATTTTTCATATATTCTATACATTTATAGGACATAAAACTCCAGCTGCGTTTCAAGATAGTCTATGATGATTTGTTTTAGTATCTAATAAGCCTAATTTTTGGTTTTTTGACTACTTAGCATTTAACTTAAAATTTGTTTTTAAACAGAGATACTGGGTTTTATATAGTAAAAATCACATTTAGTGACTATCAAGTAAAAAAATTTTCTCTTATTCTAGTTTTTGGAGATTTAACCCTTCTTAAACTTTGTTGGGCTGTAGAAGACGCTTCTTGTGATATAATTTTTTTATCAATTAACAAAGTAGTTTCAGCGTAATTCTTGATTATTTGAAAAAAGCCAAAAAGACCCATTTTTGGGGTAAAAGTTTGGTTGAGAATTTCGGAGAAAAAATTACACCATAATAATTCTGAGGAAATTCTAAGCACATTTTGTTCACTTCACTTTTTGTCTAATCATAACCCAATTTGAGAAAAATGGGTTTGAACCACCAATAATGCAGCAATAGACTTGTCTGCAATGTTTGCACAATTTTTTAGGCTTGAAATTGCGCAAACATTGCCAACAAAGAGTTGAAAAAGAGTCAATGAACGCAAGTATAAAATACTGATTGTTTTTGAAATCATCGTAACCTTCGAATTTCCAAGAAAAAAATAGATGACAAGTCTTGAAAATGATGAGAAGGTTCAGCCTTCTAGCTTTCAAATAGTCGTCACGAAAACCGTCGCTTTGTTTCCACAGTTCTGAGGTATGATCTCTGATTCGTGTAGATCTACGCAGTTAATACTTCAGACAATTTAATAATTATTAGTTAATATTTTTGATCTTAATTATAACACGGCCAAATTTGTTTTGCTTTTAATTTTGAGAATTGTCGCGGAAAGTTTAAACTTTATCAGACGATAAAATTTTTCGTATGTTTTTTTGTTATTTATCGGTAATTGTCAAAATCCCCAGCAAAACTCATTTGACCGTGTTCTGATTAACATCTATAGGATCTATTAAAAATATCCATAATTCGAAGTGCTAGCCGCGC